AGCTGATGGCCTGCCAGAATTCTTTGTTTACCTTCCGGAAATTCGACTTAAACACAACACCGAATTTCTCTTAGGAATCTGCTTTTGCTTTCGCCATTGCTTCTTCTGTCACCTTGCGTGCTTCAGCTTATCTCATGTGAGTAGAACGGTTTTTTCTTTCAAGCAATTTCTGGAATGCAGCCTTCTTCACTTCAACTGCCAGTTACACCTCGCATGTCCATCAGGAGGTTTTTCATTGACCTCCAAACGACAGGCCAACCCGTTTCAATCGACTACATCACCAGCAGTACCATCGACTGCATCACCAGCATTTGAATTACCAGCAGCCTCTAATGTGCCGCTCTTCATATGCTGCCACTCATAAATTAACAGTTTTTGCCTAGATCTGTTCAAACCATCGCGCGATGTTCTTTGCCTGTTTCGCTCATATATTTGATGAACGTAATGTTTACTATTTGATTCTCAGGATGTTTCTTCTGCGAGACCTTCGAATGCTGCTCCATCTTTTTTCCAGTATAACGCGAACATCCATTACAGAGCGTCATAAGTCAAACGAAACGATTATTTAATTGCTCATCGACTTCTGTGCACAATCTCCGATGTACCAGGTTTACTGATGCATGCTTCGATGCTCGAAGATGTGTTCATAATGGACAGTCCCTTGATTGCGTGAAATTGCAGCAATTTCAAGCGGTTATTGCTAGGGTATCTAGTGTCGCTCCTTCCAATGACGCCTTTCCCTATCCCAGCATCTAATGGTGCATGAGCATTAAAAATGGGCCATGAGTACGAGGGACTCCACTTCGTTCAAAGCACACCCCATTTCCTCATGCAGTCATCTTCTTCCTCCAAATTTTGCACAATCACGTAAAGCAAAGTTAACCTTTCAGCCCTATTGTAGCTTTAATCGAAGCTCTGGCATCCCCTCACTGATCGGTTTTCATTTAAAGATTTTCTCAGACAGGTAGGGTTGCGGCACCAGACGAACACCGACCTGAGTGCTCGTCGTGATATCGACACCTGAGTAGAATAGCCTTCACCCGGGTAGGTTCATGATTCCAGAGCTTTAGATCTTCTTTGACTAGAACTCAACTATATTTAGCTGGTGCCTTGCGGTCTTTTCTGCTAGATCATGCTCTCTCTCTGAGTGAAGATATTTTCCAAATTTCCAACTGTATGCTCCTGCTGGCACTGTCGCTCCCGTGGATCTTTTCTGACTGGCTATAATCGCATCAAGTTTTCTGTCTCTTCCGTTCAGAAAAGGATGGCGACCCCATTGCTTATTGATACTTTCTTCAGTCGTTGTTGCAGGCTTCGCTCACCAATGCCAGAAAATGATGAGCAGGTTTTGTTTTTTTCTCAGCCTGATTCATTCACGCGCAGCATTGGTTTTCTGGGCGATTCGTTTTCATTCGGTTAATTTTCGATGAGGTCAATACGATGAACACCTGAACACCAGATGGCTAAATTTTACGGAGACTTTGCCATGGTCTCCAACTCTCCTTTCTTCTCGACGGGGCTTTGGCCTGGCAACGGCGGTGTTTCGATT